AGGTTCACTTCTCTCGTCTTTCCACCGTACTGAGAGTATTTCATCACATTTCTGTACCTGGCACTCACCAACTGCAAGTCCACCGCCAAACGCTGGCATTTCCCTTCGTGGCTTTACTGTGCCAACCAACCCGGTTCTATTTTCAATCAAGAACCTAGCTAGCAATGGACTTGTATAGTAATTATCTGTGTATAGGATGTGGCCCTTGTTCATCCATGGTGCCATCAGTGACTTCACCACACTACCAGAGAAACCATGTTCGTCGTTACCGGGAATGTCTACATCGCCAGCTGAATACAGAATCATGTGTAACACGTATCCTGTTTCACAGTCACACAGTACAAAGAATTTCAATCCAAATGTGTTTCGTTTGGAGGGAATATACTGTTTGAATGAAACACGTCCTTTGAATAGTACAAGGGATTCGTCAATCACCAGCTTCTGTGCTGGTACGTAAAAATCTCTGAATTTTCCAATCCCCTCATTCATATAGTGCCTCACTCGCCAAAGTCTATCCTCCTCAGTCCGGTCCTCATTAGTTACAAAATGCACACACCTGAGGAGTATCTGAAATCTGTCTCTGGACATATATTTCCCGAAGAAAGGTGTTGGAATAGTCAGATCTTTGCTCCAGTGTTTCATCAACATACATATTGAAAGAAACACATACATTTCACCTATATTGGTGTTTTTCCAACGTTGCAAGCGTGAAAATTCTGTTATCTCTTTTCTAATGAAATGAGCCGCATGAAGGTTAATTTGGTGTACAATACATTCCATGAGCGGCTCATCATAGAATGCGGTAAAATAATCACATTCACTCATATCATCACCATTATCAGGGAAAAGATCTGTAATCCCAACATCTTTATTGTCAAAGGCAGGAATTCGGAATATAAAACCAGCACCATCACTCCACACTAGTACACCTGGTGTCCTGCAAGACGCAGGGGAGGCAACAGGGGACGCAAAAGGGGACGCAGCAGGGGACGCAGCAGGGGGCACTACGGCGAGGAAGCGATGCACCCCGTGGACCAGGAGCTGAAGCCCATCTACGCACAGTATGGCCGCTACGTGCACGTGAGGTAGAGGCACATGAACATGAGGCTCTTGGTGCCACATGTTGTTCCATACGGTGGCGCTTGGCTGGGCGAGACGCTGTTGACGCGACAAAATCTTGCCCAGTAACACCACTGGTACTGGCACCAGGCTTGGTAACACTATGTTCTGATTCCACTTCACTAAAACCAGAAAAAGAGTCACCTTCCTCTGACTCGTCACCGAAAATATCCTCAGACTCTAAATAAGCACAGGAACTGTGTGGTCGAGGGTGAACTGGGGTAGACACTGGGCGAGGTGGCATGGGTGAGCGTATAGGCCTCGCCATGGGAGGCGACTGTATCTCATTTTTACTGTCCGTGCTATCAACATCGGTCAATTGTGTGTAGTCTTTATCAATATCAGAGTCATCAAAGTCACTTTCCTCACCATCGGAAAATAATTCACTGGTTATTTGCTCTTGGGAGAGTGATTGCGTGGGGCGTGCCCAGGAAGTGTTCGGCCGTGCGCTCGACATGGAGGCTGCTGGGTAACTGAGGCCTTCCAAGCGATGGTAGCGCGAGCTGGATTTTTTTTCAAAATGGCGGCTGTTTACTATAGGCCCTGGGTAGCGTATGGGGGCCCCCTATACCCTGCGGGCCTTTCAAATCATGCGCGGTATGCCCACGCATCATATGATGCGATGCACAATTTACTGCAAGTCGGGCAAAGCATCATATGATGCGATGCGCAATTGAAGGGTTAAAGAATTCTGATAAAGAGATGTAGGGGTGGTTCTAGATAGAAAACTATCTCCTGAGGACTACATAAAGAATGTTGTGCGAGGAGCCTATGCCACGCTTTCTAACTTGAGAATTGCTTTTAAATACATGGATGGCGAAATACTAAAGAAATTGTTCACGACTTTTGTTAGGCCAAAGGTAGAATATGCAGCTTCTGAGTGGCCCATATCTTAAGAAGCACATCAACAAACTGGAAAAGGTGCAAAGACATGCTATTAAGTGGCTCCCAGAACTGAAGGGCAAGAGCTACGAGGAGAGGATAGAGGCATTAAATATGTCAAAACTAGAAGACAGAAGAAAAAGTAGTGATATGATCACTACGTACAAAATAGTAACAGGAACTGATAAAATCGACAGGGTAGATTTCCTGAGACCTGGAAGTTCAAGAACAAGAGGTCATAGATTTAAACTACTTAAACAAAGATGCCGAACAAATATAAGAAAATTCACTTTCGCAAACAGAGTGGTAGACAGTTGGAACAAGTGAGAAGCTGGTGGAGGCCAAAACTGCCGGTAGTTTCAAAGCGTTATATGACAGTGTTGGGAAGATGGGACACCACGAGCGTAACTCTCATCCTGTAGCTACACTTGCATGCGCTGAGGAAACCCTCGGTGCATGCAGCCCGAGTACTGGGGAATCACTCCCGGCTCGCACACCACCTAGAAGACAGTCACCACACTCTGGGTACAGTGCTGAAACAACCACAGGAGCTGGAGCACACAAATGTTGCCTATACCATCAGCCTCAGAACTGAAGGATGGATAGCCAGACAAGGGTCTGGGGCTCCCCCTTCCCCCTCCCAGGAAGGGGGGAGCTGCGCAGACAGCGGCGCGGCGACAGGTGACGTCATGCTCGCTTTCTTGTTTCTTTTTGGGGAGTTCTATCCACTAGTTTAGCCTTTGGTAGCAATTTTAACCAGAATATGGGTTTGTTTTGGAATGCTTACCTTTTTGGATGCTTGACCCGGTCGATGGCAGACATAGAATGCTTCCAACCACACGGGGGGTTTCTATAGGCCATAGTTCCTTGTGCCTCTCTAAGGGGGCCAGGTTCTGGTCGTGGTCCCCGGTAGGCCCTAGAACTCCATACACATGACTGATACCAAAGTCTGATATTAGCATATCAACCTGGTATAAATCCGGGAAGCCGACGAGGCTCCCCCCAGAAAATCAGCCCAAAAAATTTCAAAGTCCCAAGTTCTGCGAGTTGTGACTGATTTATTTGTTGACCAATTTCATTCTATCTTCACATATTTAGGGACAGGTATGCACTCTCCAGGATGTAAAGGTTACAAGAAATTCAGATAAAAAAAAAAAAAAAAAAAAAAAAAATTGATGAACATTGATGATGACATTGATGAAAGTAGTTGATATTAGTAGAAGGCATCCTTCAGTCTCGGGAGACTATGGAGTTGCGCTCTGGTTCACTCCAGGGGGCAAAACCTGGGCAAGTCGGTATGGAGGAGAAGCTGTTACCCATGCAGCAGATCCTCCCCTCTCAACGTTGCTGAAATTATCCAATGGAAAGGCAAATGCCAATTCACCTGGTTCCAGCAGCTGCCAGAACGAGGTCGAAGTCAACAACGAACTGCCTTAGGGGCTCCAACTCCGGATTTTTCCTCGAGGTTGACTCCTGAAGCCTTTCCCAAAAGAGGGGTATAGCTGCAAGGCAGCGGAGGTTTAGAATCGGGGTTTTCCTTCCCCTAACCATCCATTCCTAACTGATATTAACATTGGGCAATGTATTTATATGATATAAAACAAAATATAGCATAATAACATACTTATTATTTATTATAACATACTTTATAGCAATGCTATAAAGGCACCAGCTGCATATCCACTTTGTGGACACTTCTTACTACTATTCTTCTTCTTTGAGCATCAGACAGGTGCTTGCATCTCTTTATTACTGCATTATCTATCAGTTCCAGTTAATAGGAGCTGTTCTAATCAACAACAAAACTTTCTTTTTAACAAATTTGTCTAAAATCAATTTCTGAAAATATTTTGATGAAAGTCTCAAGACGCTGAAGCCAATAAGCTTTAAATATGAGCGGTTTAAGGGTTAAGGGAGCAATCCCCGAACACTCCAGGAAAACAACCCTAACAGCCTAAAGGCACACATAAGGAAACCCTGAGTATGCTAAACTCCTTGCTCACACATTACAACACAGTTCACACAGGATCAGTCCCAAAGGCAAATCACCAATTAGCTGACGACAGGAGATTGGAGCCAGGGCACTGACTCCAATGTGCCTGGTTACGAGGGCAGCCAGGCACTGACTACCATCAGCAAGAACTCAGGGTGGAGCAGCTGGCTGACCCGGGCTGCCCCCCCCCCCCCAAAAATGAGGTGGGGTGAATGCGCTCACACTAGTCTCGTGAAATTCTGTTTGTTTACATTGCAGGGGGTAGTTATTCTGATGGTTTGGAGGTCACTCATTTCTAATCAGCAGTGGCCTATTTTGTCTGTGACTTCCTGGGTGTCTTCCCCAGTGGCAGACAGACTTGAATATATTCATAGAAATTTTATCATACATGTCACTGCTCCCTGAACCTCTCTTACTGAGGGGCCAGGTTCTGGCTCGTGGCCCTTGGAAGGCCTTAAACAATTTATGACTGATGGCACCTAGTAGTTTGGCACTATATCAGCATAGTGGTTTCAGGAAGGCACAGTGAGGAGAATAATTGGAGCAACATGAGGGATTCACACCCTCGACTTGGGTACTGCCAAGCCGCACAACTTACCTCTGGTCCATGACATGGTTTAAGTTACACAACCTGGGATTCCACTCAATCCACATGACATATGGAGGCCCATACTGAAGACAGTCCAGGTTTTAAGTATAACATCCATGCACTCTGGTATAGATAATACCATGCTCCAGCATGCTCCAGCATCAAATACACAAGGAAATTACACTAACATGATACATCAATGAGAAAATCAATTGAAGCAATGCTTGGACTCGAACCCTCATGGTCCAGAGGTGAGGTTTGAGGCTTGGGATTACCAATCAAGGCTTTGAATCCCAGCATTGGCCCAATTGATTTTTTAAATAACTATATTTTACAGGAAAACATTAGAATGCATAAAGAGCATGAGAAGCCAAGGCACAGCAAATATACTGTACAGTATACAATATACAAAATTACCTTGTCTGTGATAAAATAGAAGATACGCCGTGGAGTACTCTTCTTCACGGGGTTTCTGTCGAGTTACTGAATCATCGTTAAAATGATGCCACTCTCCTGTTACAGGATTACGTGCAAAGGCTGTGTAATGCCCTGCTTGTGCAACTGTAATAGAATATTTTATACAAATTATACATTATAACATTTTTATTTCAGTATGTACATAGATTATATATTAAGTAAACTAATTTGCATTACAAAAGCAATATAAGACAACCTAAATTATAAACCATTGTCATGAAGGCTTTATGAAGGGTCTACACAGCTACAAATCAATATAGCACCTTCTTGCATTTTAATACACCACCACCACTATCCTAATTCCTTTTAAAAGGGCATTTGGATTAAAAGGGCAAATCCAAAAGGCATTTGGATTTAGTGGAGACATGATGCTCAGCTCACTCTTCCCTCATACACAAGTATAATAAATGTAATAACTAAAGTGTAATTACTTAAGTGTAGTTACAGGATGAGAGTTGTGCTCGTGGTGTCTCGTCTTCCCAGTACTCTTTCTTCCATGATGCTTTGAAACTGCCAGTTTTGGCCTCCACCACCAGCTCACTAAACTTGTCCCAACCATCAGCTGCTCTTTGCAATATTTAACTTCATGTTTTTTTCAGTAGCATTTTTTTTTTTTTTTTTAGTTTGAACATGTCCTCTTATTTTTGAAGTTGCAGTTTTCAACAAAAATGTCAGTTTTGTCAATTGGTATTACTAGTGCTATGTTCAGAGCATGATGCAGACAGCCACTGCACACTCTCATTGTTTACATTGTCATTATTTGGTGCAGCTACACATCATGACATGACCTCATGCTACTGTAGAAAATGAACTTATGCAAAAATGATTCGTATTCAGGATTTAGTGATAATGCTGATGATAACAACATTGTGCCTACATTTAGTAATAGGCATGATATATTGGAGACATTATCACAGCCAGTCTAACAAAGGTTATCATGCAATTGATATTTTTAGTGGGAAAATTCCGTGGTGTAGTGGTAAGACACTCGCCTGGCGTTTTGCGAGCACTTTGTCATGGGTTCGTATCCTGGCCGGGGAGGATTTATTGGGCACAATTCCTTAACTGTAGCCTCTGTTTAACTCAACAGTAAAATGTGTACTTGGTTGTAACAACGATTCATCGCGGCAGGGGATCGAATCCCAGGGACCTGCCCAAAACGCTACGCGTACTAGTGACTGTACAAGAATGTAACAACTCTTGTATATATCTCAAAAAAAAAAAAAAAAAAAAAAAAAAAAAAAAAAAAAAAAAAAAAAAAAAAAAAAAAAAAAAAAAAAAAAAAAAAAAAAAAAAAAAAAAAAAATTTACTTACCACCCATGTGACAGACACAAGCATACAGGTTGTACAGCTGACTAGTGCTGGCTTCACTTGCCACATAATCTGACACATCTAAGCCATCGAGAGGGAAGATCACCTTGTCATCTAACTTGGTACTCATTGTTCCATGAAACAAGAACCTGCAGAAATAACTCAGTATGTAGTTAAATATAGGACATGCTATGGAAATATTATGTCAAAATAAAGTTGATGAAGTTGAAGGTCTAAATAGATGCTAGTTATAACAAAAATATATATTCAACGAATCCAAACTTTACGTGAATGTAAAATAAGTTGACGAAAGTTGTCCCATATGTGTGTTTACTAAATTCATACACTGAAGACAAGCTGAGGAGATGCATTAGGCAGTAGAGGCTTACTGTCTCACATAGTGAGAGATACTGACTTGTATGTTGCATACTGCTAACTTTCCTGCTAGTACTCTACATCATTTGGGATGCAGCACTTACAGATTTCTTGAACACCATTGATAAAGTTATCATTGAATTCTGGGATTTTCTTTTTTCACATTCGATAACAGTGATGCAAAGTTTTCAAATAGTTCTGCCAACAATTTACATTTAGTCAAGCCTATATCTGCAGGTGGTACAAACAGGATTGTTACTGACTTAACTAAATGAACTGTGAGGTTCAGTTCCTGAGCCGATTATGTGGTAGGAGAGTGGAATGCATTGAAGGAAGAGGTTCTTACCCTTTAAACAGCGATTATCGTCATGCATGGGGGTAACGCGGTTATCATCGTATGTTGAATTCAATTATTACTGTCTGGAATTTACCCATATGATGCTAATATCAATAAAATAGCTCTAAGTAGACGTAATAGAATTTACCTTGACTTGAAAAAATCCTGCTACTGTTTCATGTTTACCTTAGTATGTGAATGTGGTAATCATTACAAATGTTACCAGCCAAATGTGGTAATCATCATTTTATCAAATTTCCATTGTAATTTCATACATATATCAATGATGTTCACAAGGTTTCCTCAATTTTATATGCATGTAATGAAGTATGCCAGGTCAACAGGTCATCCATCATTTGATCGTCATAATAAAGGAACCACAGAAGACCTATTGGCCCGTACAAGCTGCCTCAAATGGGCCAATGCAAGGCAACTCCTATTTATATTGGTATAAATAGGAACTCCCTCATATGATCCATTTGGTCTATTTGAGGCAGCCCCTACTGAGATCGATATAAATATGAGCTGCCTAAAATAGGCCGATATGAGGAAGGTTCTATATATATATGTGTGTGAATGTGTACTCACCTAGTTGTGTTTGCGGGGGTTGAGCTCTGGCTCTGTGGTCCCGCCTCTCAACCGTCAATCAACAGGTGTACAGATTCCTGACCCTATTGGGCTCTATCATATCTACACTTGAAACTGTGTATGGAGTCAGCCTCCACCACATCACTTCCTAATGCATTCCATTTGTCAACCACTCTGACACTAAAAAAGTTCTTTATAATATCTCTGTGGCTCATTTGGGCACTCAGTTTCCACCTGTGTCCCCTTGTGTAATTACCTAAGTGTAGTTACAGGATGAGAGCTACGCTCGTGGTGTCCCGTCTTCCCAGCACTCTTTGTCATATAACAGTTATATGCATGTGCTCCTTGTGTTAAATAGCCTGTCTTTATCTACCCTATCAATTCCCTTCAGAATCTTGAATGTGGTGATCATGTGCCCCCTAACTCTTCTGTCTTCTAGCGAAGTGAGGTTTAATTCCCATAGTCTCTCCTCGTAGCTCATACCTCTCAGCTCAGGTACTAGTCTGGTGGCAAACCTTTGAACCTTTTCCAGTTTAGTCTTAGCCTTGACTAGATATGGACTCCATGCTGGGGCTGCATACTCCAGGATTGGCCTGACACATGTGGTATACAAAGTTCTGAATGATTCTTTACACAAGTTTCTGAATGCTGTTCGTATGTTGGCCAGCCTGGCATATGCCGCTGATGTTATCCTCTTGATATGGGCTGCAGGAGACAGGTCTGGCATGATATCAACCCCCAAGTCTTTTTCTTTCTCTGACTTTCCTCTCCCAGATGATACCTTGTACCTGGCCTCCTGCTCCCTCTACCTATCTTCATTACATTACATTTGGTTGGGTAACTCTAACAACCATTTGTTCGACCATTCCTTCAGCTTGTCTAGGTCTTCTCGAAGCCTCAAACAGATTTAAGCCTTCTGTCTTAATCCTTATCATAATTTTGGCATCGTCCGCAAACATTGAGAGAAATGAATCTATACCCTCCGGGAGATCATTTACATATATCAGAAACAAGATAGGACCGAGTACAGAGCCCTGTGGGACTCCACTGGTGACTTCACGCCAATCGGAGGTCTCACCCCTCACCGTAACTCTGCTTCCTATTGCTTAGGTACTCCCTTATCCACTTATCCACTAGAGCACCTTACCAGCTACACCTGCCTGTCTCTCCAGCTTATGTACCAGCCTCTTATGCGGTACTGTGTCAAAGGCTTTCCGACAATCCAAGAAAATGCAGTCCGCCCAGCCCTCTCTTTCTTGCTTAATCTTTGTCACCTAGTCGTAGAATTCTATTAAGCCAGTTAGGCAAGATTTATCCTCCCTGAACCCATGTTGGCGATTTGTCACGAAGTCTCTTCTCTCCAGATGTGCTACCAGGTTTTTTCTCATAATCTTCTCCATCACCTTGCATGGTATACAAGTCAAGGACACTGACCTGTAGTTCAGTGCCTCTTGCCTGTCGCCCTTTTTGTATATTGGGACCACATTCGCCGTCTTCCATATTTCTGGTAGGTCTCCCGTGACCTACTATACACTATGGAGAGTGGCAAGCAAAGTGCCTCTGCACACTCTTTCAGTACCCATGGCGAGATCCCGTCTGGACCAACAGCCTTTCTAACATCCAGATCCAGCAGGTGTCTCTTGACCACCTCTCTCGTAATTTCGAACTCTTCCAAGGCCGCCTGGTTTACTTCCCTTTCTCCTAGCACAGTGACCTCACCTTGCTCTGTTGTGAAGACCTCCTGGAACCTCTTGTTGAGTTCATCACACACCTCTGTCATTCTCTGTATACCTGTCCTCGCCTGTTCTAAGTTCACTACCTGTTCTTTCACTGTTGTTTTCCTTCTGATGTGACTGTGGAGTAGCTTTGGTTCGGTCTTGGCTTTGTTTGCTATATCATTTTCATAACTTTTCTCTGCTTCTCTTCTCACCCTGACATACTCATTCCTGGTTCTCTGGTATCTCTCTCTCTGCTTTCTGGTGTTCTGTTATTCCGGAAGTTCCTCCACGCCCTTTTGTTCAGTTTCTTTGCTTCCATACATGCCCTATTATACCATGGATTCTTCTTTTGCTTCTCGGATTTTTCCTTTTGGGCCGGGATGTATCTGCTTACTGCCTCCTGACACTTTTGGGTGACATAGTCCATCATATCTTGTACAGACTTAGCTCTGAGGTCTGTGTCCCAAGGTATTTCCCTTAGGAAGCTTCTCATCTCATAATTTCCCTTTCGGTATGCCAGCCTTTTGTTTCCTTGTTCTTTTTGGGGGAGATAATTCCTAGCTCTACCAGGTACTCAAAGTTCAATACATTGTGATCACTCATTCCCAAGGGTGCTTCCATCTTGACTTCCCTTATATCCCACTCATTTAGGGTAAATATCAGATCAAGCATTGCTGGTTCATCTTCTCCTCTCATTCTTGTTGGTTCCTTGATGTGCTGGCTTAGAAAGTTTCTTGTTGCCACGTCCAGCAGCTTAACTCTCCATGTTTCTGGTCCTCCATGCGGGTCTCTGTTCTCCCAATCTATCTTCCCATGGTTGAAGTCTCTCATGATTAGTAGTCCAGATCCATTCCAGCTAGCAACAGAAGCTGCTCTCTCTATTATGTTAATGGTGGCCATGTTGTTTCTATCATATTCCTGTCTGAGTCTTCTGTCATTTGGTGGTGGATTATATATGACTACGACTATAATTTTTTGCCCTCCAGTTGTTATTGTACCTATTATCTAGTCACTGAAACCTTCACATCCCTGAACAACCAACTCCTCAAAATCCCAGCCTTTTCTTACCAGCAGAGCTACACCACCACCACTTCTTCCTTCTCTCTCTTTCCTCATAAAATAATAGTCTACACACACGTGTGTGTTTATTTGTGTGTGTAATTACCTAAGTGTAATTACCGAATGAGAGCTATGTTCGTGGTGTCCCGTCTTCCCAGCGGTCTGTCATATAATGCTTTGAAACTACTGACGGTTTTGGCTTCCACCACCACCTCTCCTAACTTTTTCCAACCGTCTACGACTCTGTTTACAAAAGTGAACTTTTTAATATTTCTTCTGCATTTTTGTTTAGTTAGTTTAAATCTATGACCGCTTGTTCTTGAAGTTCCAAGTCTCAGGAAATCTTCCCTATCAATTTTATAAATTCCCGTTACTATTTTGAACGTAGTGATCATATCACCTCCTTTTCTTCTATCTTCTAGTTTTGGCATAGCAAATGCCTCTAACTTCTCCTCGTAGCTCTTATCCTTCAGTTCTGGGAGCTACTTAGTAGCATGTCTTTGCACTTCCTACAGTTTGTTGATGCGCTTCTTAAGATATGGGCACTACACAACCGCTGCATATTCTAGCTTTTGCCTAACAAACGTCATGAACACTTTCTTTAGAATTTTGCCATCCATGTATTTAAAATCAATTCTGAAGTTAGAAAGCATAGCATAGGCTCCTCGCACATCGTTCTTTATGTGGTCCTCAGGTGATAGAAAACTATCTAAAACCATCCCTAGATCTCTTTCATCAGAATTCTTTATAGATTTCTCACAATTTATAGGTTGTATGGGGTTTATGTTCTTCTATTCTACATTCCATAACATGGCATTTATTCACATTAAATTCCATTTGCCAAGTGGTGCTCCATATACTTACTTTGTCCAGGTCTTTTTGAAGGGTATGACAATCATCTAAGTTTCTTTTCTTTCCTATTATCTTAGCACAACCCATTCTCGCACTTTCTTACAGTCAATATTGACTTATTAAAAATATGCATATGTGACATACTAAACATACTAGTTTACCTTGAAAAGCTTCATAGAAAACACCGACCTTACCTAACCTTCTTAGTATGTTAAGATAA